TTAGTTTGCTCCCCATGAATATGTAATTATTCTTGAAAACATATAAAAAGATGGAATTGGAGCTAAATTCTGCTGTAATTTACAGACTGGGAAGCTATTGCTGATCGTGCTCCAGAGGAGTTACTTTCTCCACAGTGTTTGCCTGGTATATCCAAACTCTCTCTCGAGGAATCAAAATCTCAACAAACTAAAAGACGGGGACGGGGAACATTTGCATACAAGAAGCAGGGCCTGTACAGTGATAACCCGTCTGATGAGTCCTTTATTGATGATGACTCTGGAGATAATTCTGTGGGTCATGCTGAAGACCCAGAAAAAAGAAACTGTACGTCATTAAAAGCATTTGTTTTTTCAGTTTTCGAATGCAGTGAAATTTTTATCAGCTAAGTAGTATAGGCTATGTAGTATGTAAGCAGCTGGTGTTTATTCTCGAAAGAAATGAGTGTATTTTTATTTCCTCTACTTGTGCACATTTTTTTTGTGTAGATGTGTATTTATTAAACTGTATACGTCCCTTGGTCAGTGGGTTTCTGTTTCGAAGTGTTGGGAAATATGGCAAAAGAACAATGTTGGGTCCATCGTTTGTGAGTAATAATCAAGGCCTTAAATTCATTTTATATAATTTGTGACTTTTTTGGCTGCTTGCTAAAATTCCTTTTTTATTGCTGCAAAATGATCACTGGTTGCAATACATGTGTTTTGTTGATCCCGAATGTTCCACGTTTTGTATTAACCGCATGATAACTAGATTCATACAAACAAAAGCAACGAATTGCAAAGACTAAGACTTTTTCCCCTTTTAGTTTCTCCCTGCACGGTGATGCTGTTAATTTTTATAGTAGCCTGCAAAATGATGTTAGATATTATGGTCATTGGCAAACTTGTCACTGTTCTCCGAAACCTTGTCATTACATTTTCTGGTGTAAGTTGTTTTGTCTCATATTTCAGATCGGCAGTACACAATGGTGCTTTCTTAAGTATTAGCTTTGTGATTATATTGAAGGCGTCTGTTGTGGAGCTCAAATGAATTTGCTTCTGCTTTTTTTAATCGCAATTTTTTCAATTGTTATTATCTTTTTGCTTGGGTACCGAGTAGGAACAAACTTATGCCTATTGCATTGGCTAGCGGAGATTAACAAAATGTGCGGTGCCTTTTAGTTATTTTTCAGGCACACATTTTTTTTAGAAAAAA